TTAGAAAGGCTGTTAGAAGTTAACTCATAGTTGAAGTTCATTACCTATATTTATTTGTAGGCTCTATGAATACTTTCCTAAAAGATTAAAAACAGCTTTTATTATGGGAGTGTCCTTAGCATCTCAGATACAGTACCATTGCTATTATCCTATGAACCATGAGTAAATTGTTAATATTTTAATTTTTTAAATACTTATGTATCTACATCAACTCTATGAAAAGCTCATATAATATCCACCTATATATTTAGCATTCATACTGAACATATAAATGTTTTGCCATATTTGCTTCTCTGGATTTTTTTTAAAGAAATAAAATTTATAGTTTAAGAACTCTCCAAATCCTACTCTACTGCCTTTCTTCCTGGAGGTAACTACTATTCTTTCTGTCCATACTTTTATACTTTTGTTACATATATATGTAACCATAAACAATTTTCATTAATATATAATAGCCCATTATGGCACTCTACCACAATTTATTTATCTTCTCCCCTGGCAATGGACATTTAGATTATGTCCAGTTGATGAAGTATTGTTGCTCTTACCAATAATACTTCATCAGCTATCTTTACATGTCTTCTTTTACTCACGTGCAAGTTTCTCTAGGATGTATAAACCTTGAAGAGGAATTGCTGTGTTATAAAGTGTTCTCATTTTCAGCTTTTCTACCCATTGCCAGTGTTTTCCAAAGTGCTGTATCATTTATATTCTTCACTAGTAGTGTATGAGAAGTTTTATTCTTTAATTTTTACCATTTGAGTGGCTGCAAAATATATTTGTTAGACTTAAAAGAGACCAAATGGAAGGCTAAATTACAAGGACCACAAAGAAAAAAAAAATCTAAGAAATAAATAAAATACTTTTTAAAAGGTAGAGAAAGTTAAAGCAAGACAGTAGACTGAAAATCCCTGGGCAGTGGTGGTGTTAAGGACATGGATATGGACCACTTATATTTTTTGTCATACAGATAAAAAATAAAATGACTAGTATAGATCTTAAGATCTTTATCTGTCTGAATTTAACATTTTCAATTCACTGAGGTAAATTAATAAGCCGATGGCTCAGGTGATTAACATGTCAACACAATAGCAATGGTGTTGGATACTCTGCAAACAAGGATGCATCATGAATGCTGAACAGCAATGCTAATTTAATTAATAGTAGGGGGGGAACTACATGATATTCTTGTGATTCATTGATCATCTGAGCAATTCATTTATTAAGTCCTATAAGGTGGGTATCTGAATATGAGGCACTATCTCTTTAATTCAAGGCTTTCCAAAGGATATAATTCTCAGGCTTGGCTTTAAGATATGCAAATTTGAAATAGAAATAACTTAAAATCATGAAGAAATAAAATTTTATTTACTTTTATGTGCTCCCTTTTTAAGTTATACCCAGTTTTTAGGCCTTCAGGGGAGAAAGCAACTCTATAAATAAACTTCTGAAGGAGAGCAGGACTATGTAAAACATGGATTGGATGAGGAAAAGAGGTGTCTGTGAATGGCCGGTCCATACCCACCTTGTCCTCAGAGGCCAGATCATGCTCCTGAGAGTACTGCTCCTTCTCCTATTGCTTGCCCACTCTGTTGAGTTTCTGAACTGCTCTCAGACCCACACAAGAAAGCTCAGAAACAATAATAAATGTTACAGTATGCCAGCCTCAAGTCATAAGTGTGAGCCTGGATGGTACATGAAACATGTTCTGAAAAATAGAAAGAGACTCATGCACATAATTATTTTACAGACATGTACCCAAAATCTTTCCAGTTCTGTTTAACATCAAATGAAAGAGTTAAGGGAAATGGTAAAATGAAATATCTTTGCCTCCATTAAATTTCTTCACCTACTAGGTAAAATGAAAGCATGTCCCTGCATAGTTTAAATTGCCTTTTCTCCATCTCACTTCCTCTCCTTGGCGGTGGTCCTAGTATGTCGGTTGGTTTATGTTGTTTGGTACCATATACCAGTTAACACTTAATAAATGCCTACTAATGATGATGATGTTATGTAACCATATAGGAACTACTGTATGGTTGTGACTAGGTAGCTCTACATTTTCCTTGAATGCCTATTGGTTGATACTGTTCCATCTGATCAAAATTAATATTCCTGAAATTACCCAGGAGTTTGGTTAGTTTATTTTTAGTTCAGGTGAGTACCATTCACAGACTTTAAAAATGAGTCTGAGGTTTTTTCCTCCTCATTTGAATTTTTCCAGGATGAAGTTTTAAATAGAAGGTCCTTCCTTTTAAATCATTGGAAGTCTAGTATTAACTGAAGAGTTATAAAGTGACTCTAAATCTTAGCATGCTAATAATAGCAGTATATCAATTTCCTAGACTAAAAGTTAGCAGAGTAATTTGTAAATTCCTCAGAGAGGTCTACTTCCCTTTTGCCTTTAAAAGGTTTTGATCGTTGTTTTTATTTCAGAAACTTTAAAATGATACAGAATTTTTAGGTCATTTAAAAAATGTTCTTGTTATAAAATAAAGAATATTAGTTTTCATGTTACGATTATCAGAGTTACTCTTAGTCTTTTATTGTTTTGTTTTCTTAACAGAAATTAAAATCTAAATCTTCAGGTAACACATCTGTCAGAGCTTCCATTCAAGGCCTTGGTAAAAGGTAAGTTGAGATTGCTTTGGTAAATTATACACACTAGTGAGCAAACACTATAAGCATAGTCTAGTAGATTTTATTACCATTTAAACAACAGTGACATTGAACAACAAAGCACTGGTTGGCTTTCAGGAGAAAGACCAATAGCAATATCTTCAATTTTCTTATGGTCTGTGACCTCTTAATGTAAAAGAACTTGAGTGGGAGATTATTGCTATTGTAAATAATTTTCTGCCATGTGGGGAAAAAAAAGTGTGAACAGTTTCTCAAATTAATGTTCTGTTACATTCTTTAGTATATACTTTGTCCCTTACATTATTTGGCAAACATTTTCTGTGACTCATTTTAACTCCTCGAGTATTCCTAAATGTACAGGTTATATCCAATAAAGCAGTGATCCCTGAATAAATACCTCTTTAAAGTAGTGGCTTACTCAGGAAAATTTGATTACAAGACTATAGAGTCAATGAAACCAAATTAACTTCCCATATTTCTTGTGGTAATTATATTTTTCTCCCATCTGTTTGTTGCACGTGTCTAGTTGCAGCCCAGTGTACCTCGGTGGCAGCACTGCTCCATGTGGGATTGGAACAACTACTTCACAGAGGTAGGATGTCTTCTTAGGTTTTTCCAAATTGATACTCTGTTGTTAAAACATAATTCTTATCATTTTGGCATTAATCTGTTTCATATGAGAGGAATATTTTATTAGCGAATCCAAGAACACTTTACAGAGATGTTTGTTATTCTTGGGCGATAGCTATTGAAAGCTGTGATGTTGGCTTTGTCATTCATTGTGTTGATGTCCTTTTCTAAGCCCCACATGAAGTGCCTGGATTACTCCAGCCCCAGCTTGATTTCCACAGGACATCAGGAGAGTAAGCTTCTGCTTTGCCTTGTTTTCCTTCCAAGCAGGGGAAACCAGTGGCTAAGACAGGTAAAGCAATGTGGCCATACAGCTACATGATGTGTTACACACTGACTGGCTGAACAGTCAGCATGATAAGCTGCAGGTCTGCAGTACCCAAAAAGTTCTCAAGCATAGTCGCTTGATTTTATTCCCTATCCTCCCTTCTTTATCTCTTCTCCACTCCTTCTTATACTCACTGTCTTACTCAGTTCCTCTTTCAGGGCAGTCTTTATGGTCCTGATGCCACATACCCCAAGCCCATATTGGCCTCATACTCCTAGCATATTACATTATCATTGTCATAATATGGGGAGACAGGTTGGTTTTAAGCAAACCTATTATCCTGATACTTTTTTGTTCTATCTTTATAGAGGCTTGCTTACTAAGGTTATTATATTTTTGTCGTTATTTCTAAAACACTTCATTTTCTGTTAATTTTTTAAGAAAGAAAAGACATATATATGACTGCATGTTAGCAGTTAGTCTACATTCAGGAAGGATAGCTGTTATATTGAATAATAGCAGTAGGATCTAAAATGACTTTGTTGGAGAATTGTGATGGTGCTGGCCTAGATCCTAGGAAGCCTGGAAAGGACTGTAGGATCAAAGGGAAATTGGGGAGTGTAGGAAGCCTGTACCAAGAACATCAAGCAGCAGGCAGGCTAATAATGGCAGTCTACTTGAGTGCTGCCTGCTGTGTGGGTTGTAAAAACTGATAGTGCTTGAATCATCGTGCACTGAGGACTGTCTATACAAAAAATTAGAGGTACAAAGTGCTTTTAGAGAAGAATATAGTCTCGTTGCTATCCTGACTTATCTGAGTCATCTTAGTGGGACGGTATTAATCATTTTCATTTCTAAGCAAATGATTGTATTTCAGCAACAGAAATCCTATATTCTACTACTACTTTTCCATTTTATCATGTATCAGTGTTTACTTACAGGTGTCTTCTGACTTTAAAAATGGTCTTTAAGACAATACATTTTGTTTTATTTCCAAATAGTAAATATTTCATTAAGATTTTCTTTTATATAGTATTTTTTACATGTACTTTGATTTAGTTCTAGCATAGAAAGGGCCTGTTCCACATGGAATTCCAGTAGACAAAAAAATGGCCTGTTTTTTAGGATGAGGATCCTATCACATAATATTGATCCATGAGAATACCAAAATCCTTCAGACCCCATTTCTACCTCTGCACAGATCTTTTTTTCTCACCCATTATGAAGATACCGGTCATCAACCACCCGTTTTGTGATCGTCATTTGCCCATGGAAAGATAAGCACATGCCTGTTCATGTGCATGTGAAAGATTTTATATATGAAGTACTTTATACTGTCCAGAGCACTTTTTTACCTGCTACATGGGGGGAAAAAATTCTTGCAGATAGAGCAAGAATTTTTAACCCTATTTTATAAATGAGGAAATTGAAGCAGTAGTGTTCAACTCATCAAACACATATTAATTAACCACCTGCTTGAAAGGTTGTAGGTTTTGAGTGAACACATTGTTGTGAACAATTAAATGGACATTTCTCTGCCCTCCACGAGCTTTCAGTCTAGATGAGGAGAGAGACTTTAAACAGATAATTCCACAAATAAATATTTAATTTCCACAAAATATGTAATGTAGAGCACAAATAATTGGCACCTCAGCCAATATGAAGCATTAGAGAATGCTTCCCCTAAGCAAATAACGTTTAATAAGACTACAATATGAAAAATGAGTAGGAGTTAAGCCAGAAGAGGGGACTGTTGGAGTCAGAAGGCATGCCGTATTA